GCCCATTTCTTTCCCTTTTCTTCCACTTATAATATTATATTTTGTCCTCCTAATCCAGGAGGTCTCAAGTCCGATTAATATTCATATTTTCAATCCACCTGTTCCAAATTCCCTGAAATTTACCTGACAGACCCCTCATCCTGTAAGTATGTTCTTCAAGCCGTACATATTTACTAGTCTCAGCTTTCCATTCTTCAATTGTAGGGGGATACTCCGAAGTCCATTTGACTGCTTTTAATCTTCTAGCCAGAAACGGTAGCCTTTTTTATTGCTAAAGTGCTGTTATTATCTAGATAGTCAGATTTGAAACCTCCTAGAATACATGGTAATGGGTTAATATCCACTATATTTCCAAATATTCTATTTAAACTTTCAATCAACCCTATCCAGTACCTTTTTTAATGTTGGACATCTCCATAATAAATAAATAAGTGTTCCTTCCTGATGCTTGCATCTCGCACACTTTGGGTCTGTACGGGCCCCTATTTTATATAAACACTCCGGGGTTCTGTACACCCTGTGTATAATAAATAATTGGGTTAATCTATGTGATACAGAAAGAGACACATCTTGCACTCCTTGAAGTACTGCCCTCCATGTTTCCTCATCAATTATGCCTATATCCTCTATCCAGCGCTCCCTACATATCAATGGAAATTTCCTTAGTTCCTTTTTAAAAAAACAGTGATACACCCGGGAAATTATCCCCTTAGACTTCTTAGCTTTAACTACCTGATCTATCAAGGGAGTTGGAGCAAAGCATGATGCTGGAACCAAAGCGTGCGCACTCAACGCATGTCTTAGTTGCAAAAAAAAACATTTTATTCTCCAATTGGTATTCTACTCTTAGTTGGTCATATGTCTTAAACACCCCCCTGGAGTATAGTTGCATTAATGAAACTATCTTATTAGGTTTTTATTGCTATGTGCGTCTGTAAAGTTGACCGTTTGCCCACAAGGGAGTGTAGTTACTATATCCTTCTATATCCATAATCCTTTTGCTCAGTCCCCATATTTTCTTTAGCAGTTTTATTGTGGGTATACCAGACCCCTTATTTATATATGCCTGAGTTTCTAATGCTCTTAATGGGTCTGAAATGTAAAGTTGTTTTCTTTCAGTTACAGATCTTGAATGCTTACAACTAAGTTGGCTACTGAATTAAGTGCAGCTCAAAATGAGGCCCCTGTGAAGTTGATGAACTGTTCACCACGTTGTGGCTTTGTGATTTACTGGGGTTGATTTACTAACCTTTTAAACACACCACGAACGTGTATACACCTCTGTAGTGTGTTCCCTCCCAGCATGATCTATGGGAGGAATCGAAACACCTTTGTAGTGTGTACACACCCAGCAGGTGTGTTGTTCAAAGCCCTGCAATGAATTGCAAGGTAATGTGGTGTAAATTAGCTCTATGTTATGTTGCTTGCGTTGATGAATGCAGGAATGTAAATGCATGAGCTAACCATTTTTGTCTAAACTGTGAAGCAGCATTATATATGCATCATGTGCATGATTTTTCCATATATGGCATTAGTGGAAATATGCTTTTAGAGACTTTTTGGTTGATAAATACGTTTTGCTGTGTGAAAATCACACACACCTGGTGTGTGTGTGTGTTTAGGTTAGTAAATCAACCCCACTGTCTCAGTTAACAAGTAGCCAACCCAACCAATCATGAAACATGAATGATAGAGCTCTCCCAATTGCAGCATGAAAACAACCAGTGAATGACTTGTACCTTCCTTAAAATACAACTTGGATGGAAATGATAGAACTTTTGCAGAGAACCCCTTCAAGTGAGTGTCCTACAAATTTGAATCTTTGTATTTACTGACGTTTTCTTATCATTTCAATTTAGGTTCTGATCAGGCAAGGTCCACAATTTGTGGAGGTATGTGTGCCACTGCTAGGAAATTTCATAGTGTCCTTAGTATTGCTGATAATGGCAGTCTACTTCTTCTCATCGCTTATCGTACGAACTGATCATTAGGGTATAACAGAGCTCTGCCAAAAACACTGAGAAAACTAAGGGATTTGGAGTTGTTGGATTGTATTCCAGAAACTGCATGGCTCTGCTGTACTATTAGATCGTGATGATTTTCTGCTAGTATTTCAGATGCCTTTACTGAAAAACATGCATATTATTGTAATAGAAAATAATGTTTGCTATCATGCTAGAACTAATCAGACCAAGTAAATTCTGGTAGATTGCTGCCTGTATCTATAATGTTAAATCCAGATTCTCTACTAAGCAACCTTCAAAGGTGTTTCATTTCAGTGATTAGCTAGGTGCTAGAAATGGCAGCACATGTACTTAGCATAGGAAATATCAGCACATGCATTTTACAGTTATTAATACATACTCCACCTGAAACATAACTGTTGTGTCAAGTCAACATTAGTGAAACGAATTAGTTCTGTGTCTATATAGGCCTGTGTAAACATGTATCAATGGAGCATCTGAACCCCATTAGTATTCCCCTACATGCAGTGTAGCGTAAGAAAAGCCACACTCATATTCTGTACAGGTTTCATAAAGAATGTTAACAGAGCACCCGATGGGTAATATATGGATCACAGCAAGTTACTAACTTACTAGTTGATTTGCTCTGACCTGTATACAGCCTATGCATTTACACCAGGCTTTCCTCCTAAAGTTGACCTATAATAAATTCATACTTCACATGAATGGGTAGGGCAGATATCAGCATTATCAGATCACAGTATTATTCTGAGTAAAAAGTACCATCTTGCAAAGAATGAAAATATCTTCTGCAGCTCTAGTCTGGTCATTGGATTTTTCCGCTACCAATAACTACTGCAGAGAGTCTATTATTCCATTGTTCCCATATTCCCAGATAATTAGAGACTATACTAAGTCATACATACAGTATGTGTTGCGTTATACATGCCTTTTTCAGGCTTTGAGATATCTTACACTAAGCCAGACTATTTGTTTTGAATGGGCTGGCAGCACACCACAATGCGTAACAAAAATGTACCTGCACCATTTTTTCCAACATAGTGCAACACAACACTGATGCCACTGGCATGGTGCTCTTGGGCATTTAAAATGCATGGCACTGCAAGGCACCACACTTAGGTTCAAGAGTTAACATGTGTTGCTGTAGCATGGAATTAAAAGGGTGTTACAGAAACAGCTCAGTGTGAATGAGCCCTAAAATTACCAACAGACAAGATAACACCAATTTTTTCTAGTTTTACTCATGCTTTTAAATTAATGCTAATATTTTTAAAATTATTAGCTAAATTGTTTGGTACACTCAAAAGATGTATTTCATTTTTTAAATGCTAAAATGAAATCTAGATCTAAAAATATGCTGTAAACCCATAGAACACAGTAGACCAGGAGAGAGGTTACCCTCTCTTACACTTATCTCATGTGTGATGTGCTATTTTCCAAGTATGAACAATTACTGTAGAACTTATAACTTAATTGTAGAAACTCATATGTCCAGTTTTAAAGCCAGCACACAATATTCAGCACCTGAGAAACATGTACCGCACTGAGAATAGAAAAGCACAAAATCCTTAAGTTATGATCATGTACACACAGCCAATGAAGACCCAATTTAAGAATCCTCACAAGGGTATCCTAATTTTTTTAAATAGATTTTTAAATAATTACATTGGTCATTCAGTTCATTTTAATATCATTTTAACAAGGAGGGAAACATTTGCAGTACAAGCAATATACCAGCACTGGAACCAAGAAGGGACAAGGGGCCCATGCTAAACAACTTACTATAAGAACTTAAAGGAGTGGCTGTTTACCATCTCCGTACCTGGTGAAATTTGCTGTCTTGGTCTGCCACTGACTTTTAGATGCTGTACAAAATGGCTGAACATTTGCAACAGTAAATTATGTCAGATGACTGTTTCAATCAATGAAATTCAATCAACTGTAATAATACACCCTAAAACATATAATGTAAAAGACAGTTTTTGGGGGGAAAATAATATACACAATGCAGAATTTGTTAAAGTAGCACAAAGACTTGTATACACACCAGAAAGAGTATTCCAGTAGAATAGGTGTTGACAGAAAGATTAAATAGCACATATAACCTCATCACAACTGTTCTTTAAAGTAGAAGCCTGTCTAAGACAGTCTGGTTACTAAGACCTCCTACATCGATTTTGTTCCCAGTGGCTATAGGTAAAATCAGGTAAAGCAGCCTGAGGATGTGATGATTATCATATTATGTTGACAGTTTAGAGGCTCTGTTTAAAATAGAAGTCTAACCAAAACTTTTTTTATTAGTTTTGGAGAGGGGGAGAAGAGGTAGAAAACCTTTCAGGATCATGTTATTTGCCATCAGGAAGGCTTCTGGGAAGATTACCCTTCCCATCCCAGTTATATATCTTCTTCCATATGGCACTACATTTTCAGTGGTCTAAGGTCCCTGAGTCATCACGTTCTATACACATTGTATAGGACGTGAGGACACTGATGACCATACCATTGCTGCACGGGGAGACAGACTGGAGGGAGCACTGTCAGCTGCAAACATTGTGTGAGTATAACTTGTTTTTAACCTAGGCAGAAACAAGAAGTTAATCCCTGCAGTGCGGAGGTAGCCCCACTGCAAGGGTTAATACAATTTGTGTCCAGAGTTCTGCTTTGAATAAGGCCTAGTGGTACTACAGTATTCTAGCTGAAGAATCCAGGTAGCCTAAGGGGAGAGATTAGAGTGACTGTGATTACATGATTTCTCATCTGGGTTCACAAGAGCATTTAGGTTCATGTTTAATGCTGTATATTTTGCTGTATCTGTTTCTTCATATATATCCCCAGAGGGGGAGAGGTGCAACTAGGGAGCTACTGTCGAGGCAGACTCAACGTTGATTACTAGATTTGCTGTATACTTTGCTACATGCACCTTTTTACTCACCTGTATACAGGTAATCATCACCTTGGCTGTTGTAAACATTAGATTACTGAAATAAACATGCTCACTGTGCGCCTGAGAACATATCTGTGACATTATCAAACAGTCATCATACAATAAACTGGGTTTGGATAAATATTTTGCCATGATAATAACACTTTTTCAAAGGCTTCTAACATATATAATACTTTTTGCAGGAAGGGCATAGATCATTTCTTTAAACGAGAATATTTGTTACTAAATATACATAGTAGTTAGGTGTTGTATCAATCATACATTTGCAAAACTGGTTGACAGACATTTAGATAAAAGTACATTCAGGTAAAGTCAGAGACTGAAGCAGTCTTATAACAGTGCTTCTCCTAGTTCCCACCTCCCTTTGTGAAGGTTTTCTTTCAGTAATTTTAAGTTTTACATCATCATGCTTCATTTTGTTGCTTCATTCTCATGAGTACTACATGATTCTTCTTTTTTCTGTTATATAATATACAAGCAATAACTGTGCAAACGATGGCTGTGCAACACAAAACTATTATTGCAATCACGACACCGACCAGCCTGTTCCCACGATATTCCCGGTCAGGTGGAGAGTAGGTCGGTTCAAAACCAGAGCCATTGTCTGAGTCCTCATCCAATGTTTGCATTGTGGGACTACCTTCAGAGAGTTCTGGCTGTGTTGTTGTGACATAGGTGAAAGTTGTTGTAACTTGATTTGGTGGTTCAGTGAACTCGGCAGGCTCATGAGTAGTGCTTTCTTCAAGCACTGCTGTGGAATGTTCCACATCTGGGGTAGTTGCAGAATCCCAAGATACTAATTGCTGCTCACTTAGGCTAGCTACAGGCACACCTGTGAAGGGTGGATTAGAACACACAACCCGGCTGTAGTTCCCGAGTTTGTTTAGGTTATCAGTTATCCAGGTCATCAGAGGAAGAAGGTGAAGGTCACATTTCCATGGATTACTGTGAAGTTTCACTTCATCTAAATGCACAACGGTATCAAAAATTCCCTCTGGGAGCCTCTGCAATGAATTATTATGTAGCTGTATGGTCTTCAGAGTGTCGATATTTCTAAAGACACCTGCAGGAAGATGTTCAATTTTGTTGCTGTGAAGGGATATGTTTTCTAGCTTGTGTAAACTTTGCAGGACATCTTCATGTAAAGTTGTAAGGACATTGGTATGCAGCGAAAGTTCCAGAAGCTCATCTAATCCACTGAAAACAGCTGGAGAGATGGTATGGATCTGATTTCTGGATAAAATAAGTAGTTGAAGTTGGGTGAGATTGAAGAAGGTATCATCTGCCAGCTCTTCTATTTTATTTTCATACAACCACAGTTCTTTTAACTTTGGCATTGGCCCAAACACTCCGGTGTCAATATGTTGTATTGAATTTTCAAATAATGTAAGTTTGGACAGCTGTGGTGTGTTTATGAATAAACCCCGTGGCAATGACATGATCTTGTTATTGGATAGGTACACTTTTTGTAAATCAGGGTTATTCAAGAATACACCAGCAGATATTTTACTGAGCTGATTGTTTTGTATTCCAATTTCTTGCAAACTGGTAAGTGCACTAAGAAGTCCTTCTGGAATTTCCTTGAGCTCATTTTCATAAAGGCGAAGAGTCTGAAGCTTAGTAACTTTTTCCAGAGTTCTAGGATGCAGGCGAGTGAGATTATTTTTGGCAATATTCAGTTTAGTGAGAGCACTCATGTGATCAAAGGCACCCCTTGGTATAGAACGGAGATTGTTCCCCAATAAGGTTAGCTCTTTTACATTTACTAGTGGAGCAAATAGTGAAGGTTGAATCTGAACCAACATGTTGTTTGAGAGAATAAGGGTTTCCAGCTTCCCTAGGTCTTTAAACAACCCAGATGGTAAATCTTGCAATTTATTGTTTAACAAACTGAGAAAACGAAGGGATGCGAGGTTGTCCAATGCATTGGGTCCTATGATAGACAGTTCACTTTTTTCAATTCTCAGGGCCAGTAATAATACCATGTTTTCCAAAACGCCATCTTGTAGCTCTGTCACTTCTGTATTTATAATCTGAAGGGACCTAATGTTCTGTGGAATAGAACGTGGTATCTCTACAACATCCCTTCCCGAACAATCTACTTGCCCGGCTTTAAGGCATCTGCATTCTTTAGGGCATTGGCCATAAGTGAGATGGATGATAATAAAGATTAAAAATCCACTAAAGTGCCAATTTGACTTCATGATATCTGGAAAAAAAGGAGGAATAAATTCTGTATCAGTATAAATAGGTAATAAACATTGATTAATAGGTAAAGCCATAAAAATTAGTTTACTCATTTTACTTTTTTTTTAATGTTTTCTTGCATTGACCCTGCCTTATTTTTGTTAGTATATACTGTATAATGATTGTTGATTAGTAACTAGAGGGAGCTCTCACTGAATTAGTGCAATTAGTCCTTCAATTGCAATGAGCAAATCTTCCTGCCCCATGCACACATAATTACAAATTATACGTACCATAACATTTTTGAAAACATTAACACATCAGTAGAATCAACAAGCTGATTTTGCATGTTTATCTAAAGAGCATTGTAAAGACTAATAAAATAGAAGACTATTTAAGAGAAATCAGCAATGGGAGGACCTCACAGCTTACGTAACGTCTAAATATAACACCAAGAAAGATTTCTTGACTATGTACTGTATATTGTCATTGGGTTGAACTAAAAGCTCTCTCGGCTGGAATTCCAAAAAGGTTTAAACAGGCATGTTACTGAACCTACCTATTGCCACTCAAATACAGAAACCACCACCATATGTGAACTGTTTAGCTTATGAACAAAAGTAGTACCCCAAGGATCCATGTATTTCCTCATTGAACTCTGCCATCTAGCCTCTAACCAAACACAGATAAGGTAAAACTATGTTGTCAGTCACAGCCTACACATAATAAGACATCTGAGCCATGCTTGTGACAGTCATGTCACTGCTTTTTGCACACATCAGCAGCCAGGGGAAGTGGTCAGAGATGGAGATGATAGCTTCATAGTTGTCTTTTGAAAACATTTTGAAATTTGAACATCAATAAGAGTACTGTTTAGTCATTTTCGGCTGTACATTTTTGGGGAAAGAAATGGGTTGTAAATAGCTGATGTAGCATGTAAGATTATGTTTACTGTCCATGTTTACATGCATGGACAGTGAAAAGATGACTTTAGCAGTCATGATGATCAAATTACCACTATCTGTAATTTAAAAATGTACTTTTAATATACCCTTTCTGAACCTCGGTATAAATACTTTCATTTACTTTTCCAGTTTGAAAAAGAATTGTAAAACAAAATAACAATAGGCATTTAGGCGGATTACAAAAGAGTCAAATATGAATCTTGACATGTTCAAAATAAATACCCTGCCATATAGTAAGTGATCACAAAATCCTTATTTTATTTGTGTATTATATCACTGGCTGCCATCAGATGATTTGTAGGCAGAAAGGCAGCGTACATTAATAATATGCTGTAACTGTAGCGTAACTTTCCATATTCTACTGTAATAGTGCTTCCATATGTTACATTACTTGACTATAAGCCAAAAGTTCAAAAGTGGGGAAGAAGCAGGCCCCTGTAGTAAAGTCTGGATTTGTAGGTGGAATAGTATGTGCCACAAATATACATATCGCATCTCATGGGGCAAACATTTTAGAATAAATGTTATAGTTGGATTGTTGTCCCTTGAAACCCTAGAAGGCCATTGCATGAACAGAATGTTTCTGGGTGTATTAAAACAATAAGCATAACCAAAAATAAAGACCTTATTTAAATAACAGTAACCAATCAGATTCAATTTGTATTTTTTCCATTGCTGGCTTGAAACCCAAAGAAGGCCTGTGGGTTGACAAAAAAAGTGGGGACAATGCAGCTCTTACCTTTACCCTGGGAAGTGTGTTTGTCACCTTAAAGCAGGAAGTGTGTTTAGGGAAAACTTTATTTTTTTCCCATATCAGTTTCTCCCTTCCTTGGAAACCTCCATGTCCCATAGAATACCTTCCACTTATTTCTACTAGTAATCTCTCCACCTTCCCTTTTACCTGTTTTCTTGTTGGTGATCTGGCCATCTTCATATTCTTCCCACAATCTGAGCAGGTCTTTCTTTTGCTTTCTCCCTACCTTTTATTCCAGTGGAGACCTCTACCTTCTCTCCATAGACTATCTGACTGCGAAGTGGTTTTGCTTCCTTTTTCTCATTTCCAATTGTGGTGCGTTTTTGCCCTCCACATCCATGGTCTAACTCTCATATATACATCATACATTCAATCCCATTCACTTGTGCCTGACGCAGATCACTGCAGCACTCCAGAACCCTGGTTGTTTTGATGGTGCCAGCTGCATCCTCCCTCCTGCCAATAGACTTTTCTGTATTGGCTGGTTGAAGTGCTATGGTGTCCATATGCATGTACAGTAGAATAAATTGCCATGCGCTATTAAACTGCCCTACCCTTAATAATCTAGAATTTTTTTGGTGTTTAATTTATAATATTAAAAAATAGGATAAAAAGGTTGAATGTCCCTTTTAAATGTACAGAGAGCAATTACAATAGTTTCTGGATATAATTCCAGTCAATCTGGATAAAATTCCTTCTCAATCTGGGCTTTATCTCTTGCCATTGATACATTTGGCTTCCTCTGGGAAAATGCAGTTATGTTGTCTCTATCATGTCAGCCAAGCCAAAAGTAGGTGGAGAAGTTGAAAACGACATTAATTCAAACCATATGCTTCTCTAGTGTGAGCTTCCAGCTTTATGGAACACAGATATCCCTATTCTTTCATGATATAAATAGCCCAGAGATCAGCCAGTGTGTAACATGTGAGGATTAGTTGTTCTTTATGTGGAGCATCATGTATACATCCTTGATACAAATCTCCACTTACACGTTGTTTTGGTTTTATAGATTGCTGGAATACAAAATTACCTCATCCTAATCCGGCAGTAAGACTTGGTTCAAGCAAGGTTCTTAGTACGGACATTCACTGAGCTGCACTTTTTTCTTTTTTTTCTTTTTATCTGCTACTTGTCTAATATTAGATATTGGGTATGCTTGCTTATACATTTTGGGAGCGGCTTATGCACATTAGATTTAAGCTTTAGAATTAGCCTAAGAATGTAGTTACTTTTACACACAAAAGACTTTATGTCTTCCATAACATTTCTCAATCAATGGTATTCTGGATTTCAGTATGTGCAGACTAATGAATGCAATTGCTGTTTGAATATGGTTGGTTACTACAAAGTATCTATCCATATAATCTCTTTTTCTAAATCAAAGTAATATGTCTTTTCATTTATATATGCTTTAAAAAATCCACAATGAACACTGCTCACATTTCAAAACCAGACTTGCACTATGGGGTCTATTCACGAAGCTGCCGAGGGCAGACGAGTGAATGACCGATCTGAAGTGAAGTGAGCCGAACACTGTTCGGCTATTCACTTCAGGCTGGTACGGCTAATTTCAGCCGTACATCGGCTGAAATCAGCCGTACATCGGCTTGCTCCGTGTGGCTTCTGGCGGCCGAACATTCTCAGCATGTTTGGCCGACCCGAAGTGCAGAAGGAGTTCGACTCAGCCGATCCAACATCTGGATCGGCTGAGCCGAACCTCCCGCAGGCTACTCACTGCTGTTCGGGCTATTCTTAAAGATCCCGAACAGCAGTGAGTGAATAGCCGAATGCCACCCTCAGAGGTACCGAGCAGAAAAAGGGTGAAAAAAGTTAAAAAAGTAAATGGCAAACGATTGTGCGGAGCTAGCAGTGACAGCTAGCTCCGCCCAATAGTTTCCTACAGCTCGGCTGTGCCGCTCGCCCATGATCCGGAGCTGTACTGGCTATTGTGAATAGCCCGTACAGCACCCCTTCGGTTCTACTGAACCGAAGGGGTCCTGGGGCCGAAGCTAGTCGAAGGATCGGCCGAAGCTACGGCCAGATCCTTCGGCAGCTTCGTGAATAGACCCCTATGATTGCATCTCAGGTGCAGGCAAATGAGCGCGCCGTTGGCCACAGCAACCCATTCCCAGAAATGGGGCGGGAATACACATCTCAATACCACGCACAACAAGGAAGTACAGGACATCCATACGCTGCCTGTGAGCGGCCGATCTATTCGTTTTTAACTGTAAGTTACTTTTTATTTTAAATAAATGTTTATGTCGACCACACCATGAGGAGTTTCCATTTTTACTTTCGTTAAATATCGATCCATGGGACTCTGATGAGACGTTTGCTGGGACTACATATTGGCTTCTCATCTCTTTATTGCCTACAAACAATAATGGTTTGGTGAGTGCGCACCCCAGAGGGGAGTTTTGTCGTGAACACACGGTGTGGGAGAAAGATTATTAAGCACCCTTTTTTTGAAGTTTTTTAATCATCAATATACTATATATATTTGGACTTAATAACAGTTTGGACTCACTTTATTATTCATCACTTGCATAGATGACCTTTGAATTGATTTGATTTACTAATTGATTGCAACAAGGAATTTTATCATAATAAGGTTTATTTCATTGCACTTTTGCTCGAAGTGAAATTTGGTATTTAATATCTCACTGGCTACCACCATGGTGTGGTAGCAGATTATGCACTAAACATTATAAACACTGATATATATTTTTTTTTTGATAACACGTATTTACACATTTGATAGTTCACCTATTGGTGACCCCGAGCGCTGCACACTCATTCATATACATTCCCAGAAATAGCCACACTCCAGGGGTCTTCACCGAAGACAATTAGTAAACGAAGATAAAAATCGACAAACAAATAAGCACAAAAGCGCCAGCAACATGAGTCAGTGATAAGGGGAGAGATAAAAATCTTCAGTGTATAACACTTCTGGGGCAGCTCTAGCTGGTAAGGGAAACTGCATAGCTGAAATAGGCGTTTCCGAGGTCACGCCTTCTTCATCAGAACCAACCATGTACTCACAAAAACCATCCTTTTGTGAGTACAAATCTAACTGTTTTTTATCCTTGTTCATTTTACACGATGGAGGCGCTCTATATTTCGAAGATAAAAATCTTTATGTATGGAGCAAATGCATACTGTTTGTTCCTCCCCATATGTATGCAACCTCTAGGAGTAAGCCAGAAGGGTGAAATGCGTTAGTGATTGCTCCATGAATAAAGAGTTTCATCTTCGGTGAAGGCCCCTGGAGTGCAGCTATTTCTGGACTGGTTTTCA